CTGTGGTGCTGCCAGGCACAGGAGGGGATTGTCTCTGCTGGGTTTCTGGGCAGCTCTCAGCTGCCATTCTGTGTGCCCAGAGCTGTGCTGCTGATTGTGTTCCAGGGGCAGATCCCTACGTGCTCATCAAGTGTGAGAACCAGAGCCGGCGCTCCCCGGTGCAGCACGACACCACCAGCCCCGTGTTCAACACCCAGGTGATCTTCTACAGGAAGGACATCGACAGTCCTGTCACCATCGAGGTGAGACAGCCCTAGGGCAGGGGGGCAGCACAGCAGCAGCCCTGGGCTTCACTGGGCCAGCTGTTCTTTGTGTGACCCAGGAGAGAAGAGTGAGAGCCTCTGCTCCCCTTGCTGGGCTCTGCCTGGAGCTCTGCTGCTCCACAAGCACCAGCTGATGGCACTTGGGGATCACAAGGAATGTTTCATTCCAAGGAATGTTTCATTCCAATGTATATTTCTTTCCAAGGAATGTTTAATTCCAAGGCTTTGAAGGAATTTACAGAATTCCTTTTGCCCCGTGTGGTACCTGATAAAAACAGAGACAAAAAAAGCCAAGTGCTGTCCAGACTCAGTGTTTGAAACACACCCAAAGCTAAGGCTGTTATTAAGAAGTTTTCTACCCTGAGTTCTAGTCCTGTGAGAACTGGACCTCACTGTTTACCTCAGCACTAGCTGGAGAAATAGAGCTTGGTATTGAGATGGTGCAGTCCAGGAAAACTTAGTCTTCAGCCTAGTCTGTGAGCCAGGCTCTAAAACTCTAGCACTGAGGAGGTGCAGAGGTGAGCACAGACAGGCAGAGTGGCTCAGACAGGCTACTATGGGGAGGTTTTACTGCTGATGAGCTAAAAAAGGTCATTTTTATTCCTCTCCTAGGCAGGCTCTGACCTAGAAAGCAAAACGCTGCATTTCTCTCCTTATTTGCATAGTCTATGTAAATGAGCATGCAAATCCAGACTCTCCCTCATGCTCTCTAGACAACTAGCTAAATTTAGACACACACTTTTCCAAGGGGTTATCGGGGGTGACCCTTCCCGGCGGAGTGTAACAGCCGCGTTCCTTGTGTCCCCTCGCCGCCAGGTGTGGAACAGCAACCTCCTGAGGGACCAGCTCCTGGGACAGGCGGTGCTGGCAGCGTCCCCCGGCGAGCCCCGCCTGCAGCAGCGGCTGAAGCTGCGGGGCAGGGGCGGCGGGGAAGCGGCCGAGGTGCCGGGGCACATCAGCGTCACCGTGCTCTGCAGCGATGACCTCGGCGAGCTCTGAGCGCCGCGCAGCCACGCGGAGCTGCTGTCACCGCTGGGCAGCGCGGGGAGCGCATCAGCATAATCGCTTTAAAGGGGGGAAAGAAAAGCTCTCCGTTGGGAAAGGGGGAATGCATATTCATACATATCTATGATACAGCTCATGCAGTAGGAGAGCGTCGCAATATGACACAAAACAAAACTACGTGGACCAGCAAGGGAAGAAGAAGGGTGGTTTATTTCTGGACTCTAACATTTCTAGACTTTCAAAAGTGACAGTGCATTGGAGGATGAAAGTGCCGCTTCTCCAATGACACTGGACAACCAACAGTCCATCAGATTTCTCCTCCACCAGACAGGAACGTAAAAACAAGAATTATTTACATAAAAGTGCGTGAGAAACTCCATTACAAGAATGTAAACATCAGAAGGATTAGAAGAAGTTAGAAGAACAGGGTGACAGGAGAGGGGCCAAATGGAATACTGAGGTAAGCTTGTGAGGATGGGAGCATCCTTGAGTATGCAAGCAGGAATGGCTGCAGCTCCTTCAGGCACCCACCAGCAGCTTGGGGACTGGCAAATACAAGGGGGATTTGTGGGGATTTTTTTTCCATATCCTTCCCATAGAAGGATATACATTTCTTGATGAATTTCACTAAAGATTAGGTGTTTCTGTTCCTTGGTGAAAATGTCACTACTTGAGGAGCTCAGTCATAGCTCATGGCCTTAAGACAGTCTTGCCAGGACAACACTAAAATAGAGGGGCAGATCTTACAGTGCCTGTTTGAACACCACAGCAAATACCAACTTTGTCCACCCAAAGGCTCTCAGATTGACTTTGTGATTGTTCTCTTCTCCACCTTGAGCTGATGACTCACAGTTTGTTATTTCTATCCAAAGGCACCTCACAGTTCAGCTGGGGCTTTGCTCAGAGCACGGATTCAGTAATGGGAGCCTCCTTGCTTTGTTTAAGCCACATAGTGCTAAAAATGGGATGACAGCCCTCTTGTTTTGGTGGGTGTAGCACCAGCCCAAAAGAGGAGAAAATGAGCTCATGAGAAAGGTGGGTTTGTAAAAGCAGGGTGCAGTTCCCTGGCACTTGTCAGGTCTCACTCTCAAAATTCTGCAGTCATCTCTTGCTGGCACGCTGATGTTTGCTGAAGTTTCACGGGGGTACCAGGGAGGACGGGCGTTATTTCACATTTCCCTCACAGCAGGGGTCTGGTGCCAGCTCTCCCTTTCCCCTGCAGCCCTGGGCAGGGTTCCCTCAGCAGCTGTCTGGGGTGGGCACGCTGGGCAGTGACCCTGGCAGTGCACAGGGCTCTGTGCCACACACTCAGAAATGGATTTTACACAGCTGCACATTCTGGGTGGGAAAGTGAAGCTGAGGGACCATTCTGCCTTTTAACAGCCAGGAAATTTGGATTTCTAAGCTGAAGGACCATTCTGCCTTTTAACAGCCAGGAAATTCGGATTTCTATGTGCCTCGTAGCCACTTCAGCCACACTGTGTGATTTTTACAGTTTATGAAATGGCCCTTGACAGAGCTAATGTTTTCACAAAAGGTCTCCTCAGGGCTCCAAAAGGATCATTGCTGTGGTAGGAAAATGCTTTCTTTGATGTGCCAGAAATGGTCTGTGGGGCTGTGAATGATGCTGCAGTGCCATCAGCTTGCATGTACCAAGGACCAAAACCCAGCTATTTTCAGACAGTTTGGGCTCAGGCCCTTTGTCACAGTAGAGATCTTGTCAGAGGTGTGAAGTACAGGCCCCACAGGCAGGTGACATTCTCTGTGAGCTCATGGCTTCAGGGCTGCTGACTCCAGAAATGTTTGTAAGCTGAGATTTCTCTCTTTAAAAGCATAAAAAAGCATAAAGCATAACTGTCTCATGCAGACCAGAGCTTGGATGAGGGGAACTGCAAAGGTCAGGGCTGCCCTAGTCCTGCACTGAGAGCTGCTTGCTTTGCTTTTCCTCACACTGTGCTCCAGGCTGAGGGAGCTGCTTCCTACAGTGTTCCCTATGGGATGGAGACCATTCCCAGGGCATAGCTTGCCCAAAGATCAGTGTTTAGCCTGGAAAACATTCCACACCGGGATGGCACCAGGGGTTTGTGCCTCCCTGCCCCACGATTTGGCTGAGGAAGCTCCTGCCCCCACTGAGGGCACAAAGCCAGCTCAGCCCCAAGCTGGAGGGCAGTCCCTTGGCTCTTTCCTTGCAGCCACACAGGCCTGGCCCCAATGCCAGCACCAGCAGCCTGTGCCAGGCTCTGTCCAGGGCTGTCCCCAGCACCAGTGGGACACAGGGAGTGTGACCAGCAGTTGTCAGGCATGTACAACCTGGCAAAGTGGGAATTCAGGGTGGGGGGCACAGACAGGGTGACTTCTAGGCCTTGATCACTGTGCCAGCTTCAGAGCTTCCCCCAGTTTGTCCCTGTGGCATGGGGACAGGCACTGCTGGCCAGTGCTGCCCTGAGGGACTGGCAGGGCTGGGAGCTGCAGGAGGCTCAGCAGGATGCCTGCACCTCTGCAGTGATTATTTTTGGGAACTGCTTGGTTTTCCCATCAGGAGGAGCTGATCCAGCCTGGGAACACAGCTGGCTCTGCTGGTTTACAGATGCTTCTGCCTTCCCAGGTGAAGCCAGGCAAGGGCAGGCTGACAGGGGCTTGTGCTGCTGCCTGCTTTTAACATTGGTACTTAAAATTGTTCATTTTGTAACAATATCAGCATGTGGGAAAATATCTTGGGGTTGTTTTTTTGGGAGGGGAGAAGGGCTGCATTTATGTACACACTCGAACCACCTCAAAAATAAAAACAGGTGGGAAAGGGTCTAAAATATTTCATTGCAACATTTTGTAACTTTTCAATACGAAGTGGCCTAAATAAAATTTTACAAAAAAAATCAATTTTAGTGATTTCTGCGCCTGCTGCGGCCGCGAGAGGGCGCTCGGTGTCCACCCACACAGGTGTGACCACGGCCAGGTACCGACACCAGACCGCGGTGGGTACAATACACCCGGATAAAAACAGTGTTTAATTTATATAGTTGTCCTATGCATGCTATTATAGCTCTCTACACACTGTGTAAAAGGTAGAGAAGCACCTGTGAGTGAATATAAAAATTTTATATATAATATATACATATATGAATATAAAAATTTTATGTATTTATATATATGTACATATATACATTTATACATAAATGCACACACTATTTATATGCATACACCCCTATATATGTGTATATGCAGCTATATATTTTATAAATATATTTTATATATATGTATATACAAATATATATATATTATATATGTATATATGGATACATGTTTTTTATATCTTTATATATATATATATATATATATATATATATAGGGAGCATAATATCAGGAACTACAGTTCAGGAGAGTTATGGGGGGGTTTGTGCATAGGGGACAATATAAGGTACAAGGTAAATGTATGTCCATAGCTCTGTAACACACTATCTATACATATAATTATATAAAAACATTATATATATATATATATATATATATAGTGTATATACATATGTAGTATATATAATAATATGTATATTCTATAAATATTTATACATATAATAATTATACACGTGTATATTTATACATGTAATAATTATCCAGTATATCACGTGTCTCTATACATTTGCACACCCCTTCCCCTTTAGCAATCTATGTTATATACATATCTTTCTCTGTAATCTGTATACATTTTTTGTGTCAACGTGTTCTGCCAGGTGGAGGGAGGACAGGGAATTCTCCAAACACTCCACAGTCCCAGCTGACCGTGTGTATCCAACAGGATGTTTTGCCTCCCCCATTTGGCTGGAAATGCATTGCACTTTCTCCCTCACCCAGAAGTGCCACAGGTGGGCAAAACCCAGCCCGTGGGCATTCCAGAGCCAGCGTGGTCTGGAGCTGATGAATGAAGGAAACCCTTCCCCATTTCCAAACCATTCCAAAACCCCCATAATTGGGACTTTGCATCTTTGAGAAGCAACCAATAATTCAGAAGTGAATGGAATAATTGGGTGAGAAGGGAGCAAATCTCACAAAGGAGTGAAAATTTTATTCTTTCTTTTGCTCTGTGTTGGCATTGCTGTCCTGAGCTGTTTCCGTGGTCTGACAGACTTTCCTGGCTACACAGATCAAGTCAGGCAGGACAGAGAGACTCACGGCTGTTCGTAAAAATGGATGCTGCCCAAGGGGAAAAAAAGAAAGAAAGAAAGGAACTGTTACTTTCCAAAGCCAGTTTCTCACAAGAGGAAGCATGAATTCTCTGCTTACCAGAAATACACATAAATAGGACTGAGGGGACCATCTCTACTTCAGTCTTAATATTCAGACCTTGCTGTCAGAGGCAATAATCAATTTATCAAGGTGTCTTCAGCTTGCTGGGATTTTGACCCTGCCAGCACTCTGGGAATGCCACTTGCTGCCTTAGGGCTTTTTCCATTTCAGGAGACTCAAAGGACTCACTTAGGTTCCTTTTTTCTAAAGGTAGGGGCTGCTTTAGTTGTCAGAAAAGATGAGTGCAAGCTGTTCCACAGGGAACTCTAGCACCTCTAAGAAAGGTTGATCCCATGAGGATTTAGGGCTGTGCTGTTCTGAAGAACACCGAGGTGCAGGTTTTCAGCACCAAGACAAGAACAGCCAAATCTCTGACTGCTGGGCTGGGACTGGGTTCCTTTTCCACCAGCACCATTTTGGGCCTCTGTACCCGGCACCATTCTACTGCAGTTCTCTTGCCACCAGCTAAAGCTGAATGCACTCCCAAAATACAACACAGAAATTGTCAGAGGGTGGATGGAACACCTTTCCTCTGAAGATAGGCCAAGAGAACTGGGATTGCTCAGCCTGGAGGAGAGAAGGCCCCAGGGAGACCTTACTGCAGCCTTTCAAAACTTCAAGGGGACCCATTTTTAGTAGGGCCTGTTGCAAAGGGACAAAGGATAATGGTTTTAAATTAAAATAGGAGACATTCTGGTCTAATGAAGAAACTGTTTATGCTAGGGGTGGTGAAACACTGGCACAGGTTGTCCAGAGAGGTGTGGATGCCCCATCCCTGAAAACATCCAAAGTCAGGTCAGACAGAGCTCTGAGCAACCTGAGCAAGTTGAAGATGTCCCCACTCATGGCAGGGAGGTTGGACCAGATGGACTTTAAAGGTCCCTTCCAAGCCAAACGATTCTATGATTCTACCTTGCAAAGCACCCAGACTGGGTGTTGCAGACATCCTTCATAAAAAAATCCTTTCCTTAGGATTCTTCCTCCTGAGAAGCTGAGAGGCCTCAGGAACAAAATGCAAACAATGATTATCTGCTGCTGTGGAATGCAACAGGTGCATCTGTGATTGGCTCATGTTAGTTGTTTCTAATTAATGGCCAATCACAGTCAGCTGGCTTGGACTCTCTGTCCGAGACAGAAGCTTTTGTTATCATTCTTTGCTATTCTATTCTTAGCCAGCCTTCTGATGAAATCCTTTCTTTTATTCTTTTAGTATAGTTTTAATGTAATATACATCATAAAATAATAAATCAATCCTTCTGAAACATGGAGTCAGATCCTCGTCTCTTCCCTGATCCAAGAACCCCTGTGAACATGGTCACAACTGGGGATTATCAGGAGAGGAGACTTTCCCCTGCAGCCCCTGGGCCTGTACCTGCAGGAGCTCCCTGGCTGTCCAGCGGATGCTGGGGTTGGTGTCCAGGCAGGAGTGCAGGAAGGCGTGGAACAGAATTGACATCTTGCTGGGCATCCTCAGAGGGGGGTACCTGTTCCGGGCAATCAGGCGCTGAGCCTGGGGACAGAGGAAGCACGGGACAGCCACTGACCATCCCTGGGCTGACAGCTCCACTGCAGGCCCCTCCTGGCTGTCTGAGAGCTCCTGGTGCCTCTCAAGGGGCTGTGATCAGCGTTTGAGGGCAAGGAAGGAGGGAACTGTCAGTCTCCAGAGCAGTGGGGATAACGACCCTAAGTGTAGCTGAGCTGGTCAGAGCATGGTGCTGGTAACAGCAATCCCCAGATGGGCCATTCACTCAGGAGCTGGACTTGGTGATCCCTCCCAACTCAGAATATTCTGGGATCTGGAAATCATTCTCTTCATCTGGGTTTGCTGCCTTATACAAGGCAAAAGCAATCCAAAAGTCAGGGAACTCCTTCAAAAAGAGTGGAAGACTGAAGTCTTCAGAACTGCTGTCTTCCTCAGGAATTAACTGCGCAGCATTTAACCTGGTTTCAGCTGATAACCATGAGATTTTATCCTGGTATACATTCCTCCACTATTCCTTGCTTGTTTGGTATAAGAACTCATTGTTTCAAAGAATTAGGATCTAAAACTGAAAGCTTCAAAATATGTTTACTACAAGTAGCTTTGCTCAAATATACTTTCAGAAATTTTTATGGTAATACATAATTATGGCATCACTAGAACCAGTGACCCTCCCTTAAAAAGGCACTGGTCAGAATTTGAAAAGACTTCTGGGCCTGCAGATACACTTGTAATGCTTTTCATAATAATTTCCCAATTGGAGAAACTTGCTGCTGTCATTCCCAGCTCCAGCTCAGAGAGAGATCTAACACAGCAGGAGGAACTCAAACAGTGCTGGAGGAAAAAAAGGCACATTTTTGCACTGGCACAGGTCACGTCTCCTCTGATGAGATGTTCTGCAGGGACATTTCTAGAAGTGGGCCTTGGTGGAACTATTTCAGGCTGATTTAAGTGGGATTTTGGCTCATGGGAGACAAAGAATGGGACAGATTGGCAAGACAGACAGTGGCATCTGACAGTGTTTGCACCCTACCTGGATGGGGCTTTCTTTAAAGTATGGAGGTTCTCCCTCCAGCATTTCAATGGCCACAATCCCAAGGGCCCAGATGTCCACTTGGGTGTCATATTCCTTTCTTTTCACGATTTCTGGTGCTACCCAGTAAGGAGAGCCAAGCATCGTGCACCGTGTGCTCCGCTCCGCGCTCAGCTGAGCACACAGGCCAAAATCAGCTGAGGAGGAAAACAAAAATACTGTCAAAGCCAGCTTGAACCATGGAACCAAGCACAAGAATTCCCCACTCTGTGTCTGAGAACACAGGGATGCTGTGCCCAACCAAGAACACGTACTCAGTTTCACAGATCCGTCCATCCCAAGAAGAATATTGTCGCTTTTGACATCTCTGTGGATCACATTATTTGAATGAAGAAAATCCAGAGCTTTGAGGCACTGAGACAAAACCCATGAGGGTAAAAGTTAGTTAACCTCATTTCATCACACAAGACAAGGAAATGGCTCTAAAAGATTGAATTTCTAGGTGAAACACCAATTGTTGATATAGACTGACCATTCCTGACCCAGCCAGAATGGCTGCAGTGGTTCTGCTCTCTCCATCCAGGTGACAAAGGAGAATTTGCAAAAAAAAAAAACCAAACATCTCTCCCTCCATTATGAAGTGGATCACTTTTGTGTGGGAGGCTGCATGACAGAGGTTTTATGTTGGCCTCAACAGCACATTAAGCAGCATATTATTCACTTTTCAGAAACAAACACCATTTGGGATGCAATGCTCTCCTTTTAAGCTGAGGGCTGTGAGAAATGAGTCTCTGTTTTAATTTGCTGTTAGTTTAAAATTCTGCCACCAGATGTTTGCTTTCACAGGCCAAGAATGCAGTGCAGACATGCTCCAGTTTAATGAGGCAAAGTTTAGAATGTTAAATTAAAAAAGAGACTGACAAAAGTGTCCAATAACAGAGTATAAGAAATGTAGTTGTATTGGCAGGAAGCTCACTCAGATGCCCTTTGTCTTAGGTTGACACACGTTTTGCAAATGTACATTTAGATGAGAAAACAATGAGTAACAAATATTGAGAGCAAAGCTATAAAGTGGACAGGTTCTCTGCTGCATGGCATTGCATTACAAAAATACTCAGACCCAGGATGGTTATTACAAGTAGTAAAAACAATTCACAACACCTCACAAAAATGAAATGTTTTCCTAGTCAAATCTTCTGACAAAAGAATTCTGTTCTGGGAGAAGAGCCATAGGGAATAGAGGTGTGGATCTAGGTACACTTTGTGATTTTGTGGCATGGCTTTTTGGGGTTTCTTTAAGTCCATTTCTCACAAAATACATCTTTGTGAGTGACCCCATCTTTTCCAAGATTTTGCCCATTTTCTGTCTTCCACTGCCTGTGGTTGTGTTGGCAGTGTACTATTGCATTTGCATTTTTAACTTTCCTAGTAAAGAACTGTTATTCCTATTCCCTTATCTTTACCTGAGAGCCTCTTAATTTCAAAATTATAATAATTCAGAGAGAGAGGGTTTACATTTTCCATTTCAAGAGAAGCTCCTGCCTTCCTAAATAGACACCTGTCTTTTCAAACCAAGACACCCTTTTATTTTACATTTCATAACAGCAGCAAATAAAGCTGAAATAAAGCTCTGAACACGAAGTCACTCCTGTCCAAGCCATTGGAAGCCCAAGCAGGGTCCCTCACCTCCTTGCTGATAGCAGCTATCATTCCTTCCTCCATTAAGACTCGGACAAGAACGCTGGTTAAAGTGCCTCCATCCACATATTCCATCACAAGCCACAGGTCTTCATTCACCAGGTAGCTGAGAGAAGAAAACAAAGGCATGGAGATGAATGTGCACAGCTAAATTACCTTGTGGGAAAGACTGCAGGGGAGTTTTGTTTCCATGTCACTTGTAAATGGAGGCAGAATGAAATGGAGAGACATTCCTTGTAGGCTACAGAGTATTTGGAACCTGTGCAGTCTAAATGAGAAAGGGTCATGAGAAATGAAAGGAAAAATGCAATTTAGTAACAGCAGAGATCAATCTGGAACCAGGACAGTTGCCATCAACTGAATCATTATCTTAATTTATCACTTCCACCATTCACTCCAGGAACAAGGCAGCACAACTCCAGAGTTATCCATGGGAGGAGGCTCTGCAGCACTCAGGACAGATGTTGGCCAAACATTTGGAAAACACTGCATAAAATACAGTCAGAAACAGGAAAAACTGTGTAAAAGCTGGCAAATTATGTGGCTCTGCAAATGAGAATTTAAGTCTTCCTGGCTTCCACAGCAATGGAAAATTGTGGGAATAGCCCAAGGAATATAATTTCTCTGATGGTTTATCAGCACTTATCATTAAGGCATAGAAAATATGGTCAACCTGTAAAAACTAAACCCCAAAACATCACAGAGGTAATGAACTGACAGGCTGTTGTTTTAGTAAGACACGGCACATCCAGGTTTTGCAAAGAGGTTTCCAACTACATACACTACAAAAGATTAATGGAGACCCAAGGCCATCTCCACCAATCCACTGGAGATGAATAGAGAAATAAGCAAGAGCTCCATGTTCTGCCAGTGCCCAAAGGGGTTTTTTAACCTTTGCCTTGCTGTGTGTGGACAAACATTCCCATGCTAACAGCAGAACCACTCACCTGTCTATATAATTGACAATATTGGGATGCCTGTTTTCCTTCATGATCTGAATCTCGTTGACAAGGAGTTCCTTCCTGCTCCGTCTGCGGAGAGGCATCTTCTTTAGGGCCACCTGAAATGAGAGTGGGGCCATGGGCTCCAGAAGTTCTGCTGCAGGAGAGCACTGTGGCCACAGCTCTCTTCACAGAGAGCAGCAGGCACAACTCCCCAGGGATTTTTCCTGGGAAGGCAGTGAGAAGCACAGAGAGAAGAAGAGAAAACAATTCTTATCCCTAGTCACTGCTCCCGTTTTTTCACATGTGGAATGTGTTATGGAGATTGTTTACCCAAAGTGAGTTGTTAATTGGACACAAGTGAAAGTCGTTTTGAGTGATTAGCCAATCACTCAAAGCTGTGTTTGTCTGGAGACAGTTATGGGTTTTCTTTAGTATAGTGATAATATAGTATTAGTGTAATATAGTATAGTTTTAATAAAGCAATTGTTCAGCCTTTGAATCATGGAGTCAGAACACATTATTTGCTGCATTGGGGGTGCCTAGCTTGGATAGAGCAAAATGACCATGGAGAGAGTGTTTTTGGAAGGATGGGGCTGGGCTGTGACAGCTGCCCTGTGACCTTGTGATCAGACATCAGGAAGTGACAGGACAACAGCTGGTTTCTCCACTTGCTTGGGTGCCACTTACAGGACACTTGCCAGACACATTTTGCCTTCTAAACTCTGCAAAAATTTCCCTAAACTATCACCCACAGATCTCTGACAACACCTTGCACCCACATTCTTCCCTGATGGCCTCAATTTATTACCTCTGTTGTCATTCACACAGGTTTTGCAAGCAGAATTTTGGGACTGGGAAAATATATCAAAACAGCTGGGAATCCTTCAGCAATTCTATGGAGTTTGGCCATTATTTCAGCAACCGCTGCTTGTCTTGGTTGCATAACAAAGCAAACACATGTGTACATGATGGATAAAATCCCATCCTAAAAGATCATAGCATTTAAAAAATTACAATCCCACAACATTTTTCAGTTCTCGAACTTCGATTTTGCTACTCCGATTTCGATTTTGCTACTCCATGAGCAATCTGAACTCTACAGTTCAGATTTGCAATTATTTTCTGGGTTTCTAAAGAAATAACCCATTCTCTGGTATTTTAAGCCTTAATTATGTCCCTCCACTGGCCCTCTAGCATTCTTTCTGGACCTGAGTAGGAGCAAAGCCTGTCCAAAATGAGTTTTTGGAGGCTGCCACTGCTCTGTGTTTGAGGAAAGGCTGTGCAGGAAAGCTCTACTGGGCACCCAAAGCCCTGAAGAGCTGCTCAGTGTGCTGGGGGTGTTGGCACTCACCACTTCTCCTGTGGCTGGGTCCGTGGCTTTGTAAACAGTCCCGAAACCCCTGGAAACAAAAGAGCAGTGAAGAAAGGAGAAGCAGTTCAGGTGCTGGGGGTGAAAGCCAGCCCAGACAGGAGATCTCTGCTGCATGAAGTGTTTTAAAACACATTGGTTCACCTATTCTTCAAACAGCAGCACAGCAGCCCTCTGAAGAAAAAGAGCTGGAGCACAGATCTTCAAAACCTAAGAGCAGGGGGAGGGTGTGCCTACAAAAACTGAGAAATATTTAAATTTTATCCATTTTGCCTTTATTGCATTGGGGTTTTTCCTTCTTTTTGTCTCTCTGTGTGTCTTTTTTTGCCCAGGGAATGCATGCTTCAGACTACACTGGGTGGGATTTTGTATGACAGTGCAAAAGTTTATTATTTCACCTCCAGTTTCAATTGCTAAACTATGTGGTTATAATCTGCATTGCTGAATTTTTTTTAAGCAAAATATTTGGAGTAAATGTCATTGAGAACTTTTATCTGACAGCTGTGGAGTGGTAAGGTGCTCTTTTAGGCAATAAGGTTTGAGGGATGGGAGATCTTTCAGATCCTGCAAGCGTATAATCCAGAGTACCAAATATTTTTTAGCAAAATATTTGAAACAAGTGTTACTGAGAACTTTTACCTGACAGCTGTGAGGTAGTAAGGTGCTCTTTTAGGCAGTAAGGTTTGAGGAATGGGAGATTTTTCAGGTTCTGCTCCTTGGTGCAGGTGAGGCACTGCCAGCATCGAGTTTTCTTTGACAACACCTTTTGACCACAATTATTAATTCTGACCTGTACTGAGATGGGAGGATCTAAACCCACATCGTGTTTGGAGCTTGCCTGGATTCACACTTGATATTACAGCAGCAAAATGCCCAGCCATGGTTTTGTAGGAGTAACTGGGATGGGACTTACCCTTGGCCAACTTGAACAAAATCAATGTATTTGGTCTTAGGGTCCCCCTCGTTGACAATGCCCCCTGAAAGAAATGAAATGCAGGATGCTCACTGCAAACAGACACCACCCTCCAGCAGATGGGAAATGCAGCCCCACTGTCTGGCTGTGAGCCCTCTGTGGGCAACAACAGCAACAGAGGCAGCTCCAAAGCACAGATATTTCCACATATATTTCTTTTTGAAGAGTTACCTTGACAGGAAGCAAAGCACCAGCAGAAATATCCACAAGAGACAGGAAAGACCAGGTACCAAAGCAAGAGTTTGTTTTCTACAAATATTTAGGAGAGCTAAAACAACACAGCCTTTATTTTCCTGGGAATAAACCCTTTGTGTGATTCAACAAAAGGTTTAATATTTCTAAAGATTTAATGCACCTTGGGTTCTGGGATTCATTTTTAAGAAACTGTGCAAAGTGTTTCCAGGAGAGAAGGGGACCTTCCCAACTTTCAGCAGTTCACCAATGGATTGTCTTTATGATTTTAAAGAACAGCATCTTATGTTATAATCAATAATGATGGGTCTTTAGGATCCAGGACCCTCATGATGGGTTACCAGGCTAAGTTCTGGTGATATCCTTGCCTGTGCCATTTGAAGGACCACACTGCTTGTCTTCAGTCTAATAGGTTGCTGTGAAGTATTTTTGCTCCAATGACTTGTCAGGGGACAAAAGAGAATTTAGGAACCCAAATATCCTGCTTGATTAGGCCATCAGCACTCAGGAATTCAGTAGTTCATTCACTAGGTCACAGCACCTTCTGCTGAATGAGAAACCCTCCCTGCTTTTGCTTTCAGCACAGATGGAAGCACAGGGAAACTGAACCCAGTCTGAGCTGCCCTGAGGGATGCCCAGAGAGAATTCTGCTTCCTGTGTCCCTTTGGTGCAGCTGAGGCCAGACAAGAGGCACAGCACACGTACTCAGCTGTTCCAGCACTTCCTCTGTCACACAGAATTTCTTCTGTGGCCGGACCCTGGGTTTGTCCAGAGCACCTGAGCTTCTGCTGAGGGTGTCAGACAGGAGAAATGTCTCATCATCTGCATCTTCAGCTCCCAGCAGAGAGCTCGTGTGGATCTGTGATGAGAAATCAGTGTCAGGAAGGGAGCTGGCAGGGATCCCCTGTGCTTGTATTCCAAATGCAAACCCTCAGGAAGATGCCTGTCAGCCATATCCACTGCTCTAAACAGCTTTTTGCTGTCCACATCACAAACTGAATGAATAAAACCGAAGCAAGTTCATGGCCAGTTACATGTTCAATTTTCATGGATTTTCTCAAATAATCTGTGCAGAGGGGCAGGTACATCCAGGAGACAATTTCTCCTGTATCCTGCAAGGGAAACTGATGACCAAAAGGGAAATTCAAACCCAGTTTTCCAGGTGCCACTGGCTGGGGTGAAGCACAATGTCATGGCAGGACTCCAGCTGTGAATGGCAGCTGCTGAATGGCAGAAACTCTCAATTGCACCAATGGTAACCAAAGCTGGCACTTACTGATCCTCCTGAGGAAACAGCTGCAGGTTCCTTGTCCACCTTCTTCTCATTATCCTCTTGTCCAGGAAGGGAAAGAGCCAGCTGAGGTTCTGGTGGCAATGTTGTGGCTTGGGGACAGGTGTGAGAGTCTCCCTTCTGCCATTTGGGAGGTTTGATAGTTACACACAACTTTCAACTGCTGTGACATCAGATACTGACCTAGACATGCACGTGGTCCTACAGCCTCAATTCTCTGTTGCACGTGTCCCAGTACAATTTAAATATCTATAAATTATGGGGGGTTGAAACAACCCCAGCTGCTGCTCTGCAGGGGCAGAGCACTACATCAAGTTGCCCCAAATTTGCTGTTTCCAATTGCTTTAAAGCTTAAAGGCCACTTAGAGAACTGAAGCAAATCAAAGGCACCATTTTACACCTTCACACCTCCCTGTTGCTCTATTTAAAATGCTTAATATTAACCCTAATAAATTTGTCCAGTGGATGTCATGCCTCTCTCTAGGATTGTTACTGCAACTCAACATTTATTAGTGTGGATTGTTATTTAAAACTTCCTTTCAATGGCTCCAGTGAGTTACATTATCAATTATAACCTTATTTATGCTCAGCTATATATCCAGCTGTACTAAAGATAAATCATGAAACTTGCTAAAAAGGGAGTTCTAAGTTGTTAAAACTAAATTAAAAGGGGGCAATTATGCAGTATTGAAAATTGCTGTGAATTAGATATTCCACCATGGCTAAACCCACAATCTTCCCCCAGCAAAACCAGACTTCAATTTGTTTAAAAGCTTTGAACAGAAATTGAGGAAACAGCCAGGGATCCCTTTGCTGCTGCTGCAAAACCAGACATGGACATTTTTTCAGGGTGGCACACTGTTGGAGCAGGCAAAGTTCATACACAGCTCACTCCACAGTTCTTAAACTCTAGGAATGTCAAAGGTTCCTTTCCCACTCACCAAAGGACAGGTTGCCATGTATGCACCTCTGGATAACTGGATGATCAGATCTGCAGTGGGCAAGAGCAGATGAACCAGATGCTGTTAGAAAACTGCCTCTTGTGGGGCATCCTCCATGGAACAAGTCAGCCCAAATAAAAGAGCATTTTTATTTCACATAATCCCTCCAGTTCTTTTCCAAAGTAAGCAACAGAACAGGACAAAATACCAGATTAATTTTTTTCTATATCTTTCTATTTTTTGTGCAGTTTCACCAGCAAATAAATAGAAACTCAGTCAAGAAAATGTAAATTGTTCTTCAATAGTCAATGATTATGCTCTGCCAAAGAGCTAAAGAACTTTTCCTACTATTAAATTGTCTATGTTGGTTCTCTTTAGCTTGCTGAAAATGCTTCCCTAGAAAAGCCTTCCCAAAATCCCCTTAGCTGTGTGAATTCTATTCTGATATTGCTCCTGAGTTCAGGAGCATGCACTGTTGGGAAGTTACATCTCCTCATGAAGGTCATCACTATTTTAGCACAGGAGGTTAGTAAAATCTTTTAATTATGGGGGAAAAAGATCTTTTCCCTCATTTCTGAAGATAATTGCACAGTTTTTGTAAGCACTTCTGACAAGCTCTTCCAGTCTGCATTTTGGAAGGCGGCTGAAGCGGCAAAGTGAGGGAATTACCGACTCCCCAAACTATTGTGCATAGGGAATAGAACCTCCAAAGGGCTCCCCACATTCCAAATGCTGTCCCCATTGAGACACCCCTTTTAGCAGAAGCTGTTGACAGGAGCTCTACCAAACCAATGCCATCTCAGTGTCATTGCTGTTCCAAACTCAGCTCAGTTCCTAAGGAAGAGCAGAAAGGCCACAGTGATCCCAAAGCCAGGTATGCTGCACCTAGGGCAAAGCACTACTCACTCCTCAGATGAGCTGTCAGCAGCCAGGGTTTATCTGGGTCAAAATACAGCGCAGATGCAGCAGACAGAAAATCACGCACTGTGGCAACAACTTGCTGGATCATTTCTGCAGAGCTGCGCTAGAACTTGCAGAGCTGCATAACCCAAAATTCAGCTAAAACCCTTGCTGGTGTGCAGGCAGCCCACTGAGAACTCCTGGAGGAGGAGGATCCTCCTGGAATGCCAGCAGAAGGGGCATTGAGGTGGTCTGGGCTGCAGGAATGGCAGTGTCCTGTTGGCACTGCGGGGAAGTGCCAACCTTTCAGTGGCACCCCAACGGGCCCTGACATCACAGTGGCAGCAGCTGCAGGCTCACACTCTGTGGAATGGTTCCAGGCTGCTCCTGCAGCAGCTGGATGCTCCATTTGGCTCATCCTGGAGCCTGACATCCCTTTATGGCAGTGAGGTGTCAGCCTTCCTCCTGATGCAAAGCTCCTATTTCTGCATGGAGCTCACCATGGAAAATGGAAATTTCCATGGTGAGTTCCATTTCTGCATGGAACTCACCTGAAAATCAATTCTTCCCTTCCATGGAGTACAAATTTAAGGCTAAAGTCTACTGTATTTGCAGGGTTCCCAGATGAAGGAAGGAATGATGAATCTGACTCCATGTTCTTAGAAGGATAATTTATTATTTTATGATACTATATTATATGAAAGAATACTAAACTAATCTATACTAAAGAGTACAGAAAGGATACTTACAGAAGGTTAAAAAATAATAATGAAAACTCATGACTTTTTCCAGAGCCCTGACACAGGTTGGCACTGATTGGCTAAAGAATGAAAATAATTCATACCAGAATCCAAAGAAACAATCACCTGTTGGATAAAAAAATCTCTAAACACATTCCACATGAGCAAAATAGAGGAGAAGCAATGAGATAATATTGTTTTCCTTTTTCTCTGAGGCTTCTCAGCTCCCCAGGAGAAAAATCCTTGGGCAAAAAGACTTTTGAAGAAAATATAACTGTGACAAAACTCATTTTCCAGATGATTCTTTAATTCCATTACAAAACTCTTCTCCATTGGTAGACAAAACAGTGCCTTCAGGAGATTTGCACTGAACTTTTGATGCTCAGTAACAAAATCTTGCTGAAATGGTCTCTGCTGTCAGATTAGAGGGAAAACCCCACCCTGATGGAATTACTTTTCAGCACACCAGGGAACACTGTGGGGGAAGATTCTGCCTCTCACAATCCTAACACTGAGGTGCTAAGGACTCTCCTGGCCCAGCTCCTGTAGCTCTGCTGTCAATGTACAGAAAACAGAGTTTGGAAATCCCTGATGCCCCTACAAAAACATATTCCCTTGGATGTGAGGGAACCCTGCACGATCAGCTCCCTCGGTGGACAGACAGCTCTTCAATCCTCCTCTCCAATTTCTGTGTGCACAGAAGATGTGCTCAGGCTCTGAATAGCTTTTCTCTCTGCAACAATGGAATATCAGGGCCCTTTCAGAGCATAATTTCATCCATTTCTCTCCCTTCCACCCTCTCATGAATTACTAATTTAAAGTGACTTAATATCTATTCTCTATTCCCCTTCGGCTTTGCATATTTTAATTATGCCTCTTCCTAATCCTCATTTTCCCAGAACAGACTTAAATAACCCAAATTACCCCATCAGTAACTGTCTTTGATACCTCAGTTATTGCAGCTAATTTGCCACTTTTGCCAAACATGCTATTTTGAGGGTTTTTTCCTAACACCAAGTGATCACACACTCTGTTCCAACAGCTCTTACCTACAAACCAAAGTGATCTGCTGCATGAAATGGGGAAAATTTGCTTTTTTAAAAGTATTATTGCTGCTAAATCACTTCCTGGATGATTTTAGTGACATTTTGCAGCCTTATCTTGGACTGCCAATGGGCAGGTGAGGACAGGGCTGGAGATGTTGGGAGAAATCCTGCTCATCTCTGCTCAGCCTGAGGATTGCTCCAGTTCAAAACAGAACAATAAATGTCCTTTGCAAAGGGATTTTCCTGGAAAACACTGACATTACTTTGTCAGAATACAATGTTTGCCAAGAGAGGAGCATTCACAGAGCTATTTCTGCAGTGAGAGGGCATCTTTAGCCAAGACAATAAATAACTACTGGTCCCAGCGAGCTGCTGCCCACAGGCCCTCAGGAGTGGCTGCAGCCATGTGCTTGTGCAGCACAAGAAAAACAGCGCCAGGTAAATTAGAAAGCCCCTAAAAAGAAAACAAGCTCACACTCATAGTTAATAATGCAGATATTGGATCTGTCATATTATTTTAGGAGGCAAAGAAAATGTGACCTTGGCATTTTTATTAAGCTTTTCCTCTGTCACTTTGAAGCAAACTTTTGAAGGGTGAAATTCCATTTATTTTCAGGAAATACAAATCCCAGGGACAGGGGACAGGCAGACAGGGAGGGGCTGCAGGAGCAGTCTGTGTCCCTGGAGCTGTGACAAGGGCAGACTGCCAGGCACTGGGCACAGTTTCAGTGCCTGGCTCATCAGGGTCCTTGTGTTTTCCCAGTTTGGAAGGAAGCTCCTTGCAATCCCATCCTTCTCTGTTCCAAGCAGGGCCCAGTCCCAACCCACTGAGTGTCCTCACCAAAAGCAGCAGTAATGAATGGCATTTGAGCACAAGGCATCATGTAAAACCAAACCATCCAGACAAGAAATGCCAGCAACGAATGTGGAGCAGGATTCTGAGCTGCCCCAGGGCTCTTGGACCTGAGCACAATTCTGAGGTGCCCCAGGGCTCTTGGACCACACTTCAGTGTAAATGTGGTACTGAGATCACCAAAACCAAGAGAACAAAGCCCAAAAGTGCTTCTGAGGAGTGGGGAGCACTGCCTGGGGATTAACCACCAGAATTGCCACAGGCCTGGGTTTCACTTTCCACCTGCTGAGGCAGGGAGATTTATCCAGCTTCAAGCACGGAAGAGCACGTCATGTTTGCAGTGTGCCCTGCTTCAACAGCGATCTTCTCATCCCTGGCAGCTTCTCTTCTCCACGAGCACCCATCTGGTGGGAAATATATTTGGAAAAAAAAGTTACTTAAATAACTAGCACTCAGGAATGACTCCTTCTTCCAGAATTTCATTTGGTGTTACGTGAGGAGCTCTTTCTGTGCGTGTTATCAAGAAATTTAGTCATTTGTGCTTTCCTACTGTATGGGGTGGCTTTACTTCGTCCTGCTGGTGCTGCTGTCCAGGGTTTACTTTTACCATCACGCATCCCTCGGCACTTGTTCATGTTCCTGCTGAGCTGAGAAGGAGAGACCGGGACAGCTTCACGGCAAGGGATCC